TATTTGGGTGGAATACAGTGTGGGAATATTTGGGTGGAATTTGGGACAGACACTGCCAGGGCTGCCAGCCGCTCACACGGGCAGATGTTGCACAGCTGGAGGGGACCGTGGATGTCCTTCAGCCCTGCCCGACCTCACAGCGGGACTTGCTGAGCTCGCTGGAAAAGAGCTGAGGAGCCCCCGGTGTTTAAACCCTCTCTCTTCTCCCAGCAGGATAATTTCCAGCTATTTCCATGGAAAAGGGTTGTCATTTCTTGTGTGTGCTCAGCAATACCATGGAACGCTGGCGTTTCTAGGTGCTCATTGCTGCCTGCCCCCAAACCCACTGACACCTCAGCATTCCTCACAAAAGGGATGAAAAGAAAAAAATAGATTTTAAGTGGTACCTCAACACCCATCCAGAGATTTATCCTTTTTTTCTGCTGCTCCTCAGAGTCAGGAAGGTCAGAAAAGAGCCAGAAAGGAGAGGAACAGGCAAAGAGAGGGAGGACAGAGAGGTCCTAAGCCCCTCATCCTCCTGCTCCTTTAGGGAATAGCTGGATAAGGATTTTCACAGAATCATGGCATCATTGACGTTGGAAAATAATCTTAAAGATCATCAAGTCCGATTATTTTCCAGCTGGAAAACCTTGCAGAAACTCAGAGTGCAGAGAGGAGGGAGAGGGAGAAGTTCAGGAAGGCAGGAGACACAAGGACGGCTTGGAAAACTCCCCCAGGAGGGTCAGGGCCCTCCTGTCCCACTCTGGGGTGGGACAGCTCTGATTCCAGAGGGGACACACTTTGGATGGAACCCAAAGAGCTCAGCCCTGTGGGTGGCTGAGCTGTGCTGAGCTCCGTGAGCCCACAGATTCCCAGCTCTCCCTCCCAGCACCATGAGAATTCTGATTTATGAACCTCGGAGCCGGGTCAGATATTTAGAAGCTGCTGGAAGTGTCAGGTCTAACTCCTCAAAACAGTGAGAGCACAACGGGGTTTCACCAGGGTAGGAACATCCCACCCCAAAAAACATCCAGGAGATGAAAACTCCACCAGCAAAGCCGGGCTCAGCTCCCTGTCAGGAATAAACCCTGCTGGAATAAACCTCCATGGATGGTGCCACCCATGGTTTATTGGGAATAAACCCTGCTGGGATAAACCTCCATGGATGGTGTCACCCATGGTTTATTGAGAATAAACCCTGCTGGAATAAACCTCCGTGGATGGTGTCACCCATGGTTTATTGAGAATAAACTCTGCTGGAATAAACCTCCATGGATGGTGCCACCCATGGTTTATTGGGAATAAACCCCGCTGGAATAAACCTCCATGGATGGTGCCACCCATGGTTTATTGGGAATAAACCCTGCTGGAATAAACCTCCATGGATGGTGTCACCCATGGTTTATTGGGAATAAACCCTGCTGGAATAAACCTCCATGGATGGTGTCACCCATGGTTTATTG